ACCTGAGCTGAAATCGGACGCTCAACCGACTGAGCCACCCAGGCTCCCCAAAAAGCATTTTAAAAGTTTGAATAAAACATTTAGGAAAACGTCGACATATCACTCAGTTCTGAACTCGGATAAAGGTTGTGCAGCTGTCTGGTTGCACGTTTCTTAAAAGCAAAGGGGTGATGTTGGGAGGGAAGCCAGCTCTGAAGCCGCCTTCTCCCTGAGGCACCTGCCTGACCCTGGCTGGGTGGTGATCCCCGTGGGGCAGGAGGGAAAACCCTGAACCCATTCTAGAAGGGGCCTCTCCCAGGAGAGCCCCGCCCAAAGCCAGGTCTGTGCAAGCCCATTGGGTGACCTCCGAGAGGGTTTGCCTCTGCATCATCAGTGTGGTCCCAAAGTCTGAAATGGAGGATTTACTTAAGGTCTTCCCAGGTTGTTAGCGTTCCGAACAACGGGCAGAAATACCACAGGTGCCTTCCGACGGCGGCTCCAGCCCGGATCTTGGAGAGGCTCCGGGGATAAAGTTCCAAGAAACTGGAGCTGCTGGTGGAAGATCAGGAAACCGGCAGACAGCGGCGGGAGCAGGGCAGGCTGACAGCAGGCCCTGGCGGCTTCGGGGCTCGGGCTTCAGGGGATCCGGTCGTGCACGTCAGTAGCACCGTAACGGCTCTGAGTGGTGAGGTCGCGACGCGGAGTGCGGGAGCGTTCTGTGGTGTATACGGCGTCGGGGCCGCTGCACGCCTGAAACTAACGACGTGTTTTGTGCCGACTGCCCCTCAGTGACAAAGTCAGTACGTAGAGTATGTTTAAAGAAGTGGAAGAGGTTTCGGGAAGTAAGCGGAATCCGAAGAGCATAAAAAAAGGCCAAGTAGGCTTGAAAAGGAGCCTGCCTGGGGAAGCTAAGACCAGGGAAAGCGCGACCATGAAGTGAGAGTCTGACGCCATCAAAAGCAACATCCGGAGAGTGAAGGACAGCCAGCTCCTGGCCCGCCGCCGGGACGCGCTGGGGGCTCCGCGTTTGTGCTCCCGCCCTCGGGGTGAGCTGCGCGTGGCCTCTGTCCACCCACCCTCACCGAACGCGTGTCTCGTGTGGGTCCTTAACGTGGGGAGTGCTCTCCTAAAGCGACACGCTTCCTGCAGGGTGTTCAGGCTCGTGACGGGGACCCAGGGCATCCCCAGGGCCGCGCTGACAGCACAGACACGTCCT